CAAAGTATCTGGAACACAAGAAACAAGAAGTTTTTAATTAGGAATGTCGTCAGTATCCGAAGTACTAAATATGAAATAGGTATCTTCAAAATACTTAGGATAAAAATACTTTTGTAGGAAAACTAGATTTTATCTTTTTAATTTAAAAATCCAACATATACATTGAGTCAGACATATGAATCATGCATAGATTCGTAAATGATTATTATTATTCGATATGTTTTCATGTTACTCTAACTTAAATTCGTTCATATGTATTTCTATCGTCTGGATTGTCATTGTCACAATACCCGCGGAGCAAAACAAAAAATATAATTCCTTATATTCCTTTATAAATCGACACACGACGATATCTACTAATTAGATGTTGGACTAATAATGGCACGTTTTACACGCATTTATAGTGTAAACTTCTAGTAATATATTACTAAAAGTATTTTACATACTTACTGAAAAAGAAAGAATAATTCATATTTCTAGGTGATAACCAACTTAAACAATGTACAACAAAAAATTGAGGGACAGGACCCCGATATAGAAACATTACGATAGCGCTTCTGTTTCAATTCACAGGCGGAAACATTTTTCTTACCAATGAAGGCCACTGCTTAAAACTGGGTGATTTCGGATGCGCAGTCAAGATCAGAGCCAATACCACGGCCCCTGGAGAGCTACAAGGCTTTGTCGGGACACAAGGTGTGACTTTTTGCCTGATTTTAGCAATATTTGTTGTTGAAGTTGGAAACTAGGAGTAATAGATGTAAATTAAACACTTTTTGAGTAAAATGAACCATGTGTATATCCAAAATGAATAATACTCGTATTTAATATTGCTTTTTCAGCATATATGGCACCCGAAGTGTTTATGAAGTCGTCTGGTCACGGACGCAAAGCGGACATTTGGTCACTCGGTAGCGTCGTCACGGAAATGGCCTCCGGGAAGGTAATCGGATTTATTTCATAGCATTACCGTCAGGTTATTGAGAAACTCGAGTAAAACAGTTACAATTAAAAAAGTGTTATGATTAACGAAATTCTGATTTCAGTATATATTGTTATCAGTCAACAGTGCATCTTGTAGGGTTGTATTATGTGGAATATTTCACATTCCATAGAGTAAATGAACTTGTGACAATAGACACGCGTAAGGACAGTTGTGATGTGACTAACAAAACTCTCGTTGCTTCCAGCGTCCTTTCTCAGAGTACGATAGCAACTACCAGATAATGTTCGTAGTGGGCATGGGAGGTCGGCCACACATCCCCGACACATTGTCAAAGGAAGGCCAAGACTTCTGTATGTCCTGTCTTACACATGACCCCGAGCAGCGGCCCGGCGCCGAAGAACTGGGCTTGCATCACTTTTTAATGGTAATTAACATTTTTAAAACTGAATAGGAATAATTAAAATCTCATGACACTTAATTTTTAATTTTCATCTAAGAATAATGCACATAAGAACTTATATTTTTTTCAATCTGTATAGGCTCTGAAGTATTTGAGTTTGAAAATTTCTATGACAAAGGGGAGGTGAGGCCAAGGCCTTATAAATTAAATTTAAATTTACACCGGATGATGCCACTTCAGCATCTAAGCAAAGATTGAAAATGTATGATTAGAATATTTATATAAAAAATAAATATATATTTTTGTTTTATTTCAAGGTAAAATCTGACGAATCCTGCGACAGCTGCGAAGGTGGTCATATGATGAGATGAAGTCGGGAGTTATACACCAGTTCAAGAGCAAATTAAGATTTTAAGAAAACTATTTTAACTAGGGAAACGGCAAAGATTATTATATAATATTATGTCAATATAATTCCTATATTTTTAAGTTTAAGATACAGTTTTGTATATAACTACTTTAAAATGTACTTACTACGAAGGATATACTTTAGTGTAGGGCAGCTGCGTTATATGTTATTAAAATAACAGTTTATAAAAAGTTATCAATTGTAAAAATATTTTGTTATTCAATGTAGAGACATTGAGTTTTTATATTGTAACGTTTACATTATTTGCGGCCATTTTTATTTGAGAATGTTTAACATTGATGAAATATATTTGTTGTATTAAATACGTGCGATTGTTTTAAATTTAAAGAAAATAATATTTTGGAATAAATACTTTTTAAGGAAGGCCCCGTTTTACCATGCTAGAATAAAGAAGCCAACGCCATTTATCCTTTATTGAGATCAACAACATAGACCTAAGTTGTGCTACGATAGTGATATGTTTAAGTTTCGATACCATTCTAATTCACACAAATTGCTGCTAGTTTTAACATTCATATTAAGTCTAAGTGAGTTATCAACGTACAGACAATAAAGTTTTAATGGGACACGATTTCTTGTCAAATCTTCAAATTTGACTTTGTAAGAGACGACTATTTTTAGACAAGGCTTATGCTGCAATTGTGCAAAGTTGATTTTTAGTTTATAGTTCGGCCGTCGCCATTAAGAAATGGTGGACGGCTTGATTAATCTCGAAACTCAAGTATCAGTAAATTAATATAATCCTAAAATATAACACAATATGTTAGTAATAACGCAGTTAACAAAGAAATTGCAAGTAAAGGACTCATGACGCATCCATAATAACGTCATCTACGGATCTGATGTAAAGCCTCCTCTATTTATTTTGTATATGCTGTCACGAGTTACATCTATTGATTCGAGATGGCGCTATATAAAATTAATCACTAACGACAAGTTCCTACTAGGCCAAGCCTCAATTTAACTAACATTTATATTGGAAAATTACACGAGATGATATCTCGACATACTGACTTCTATTTGAAAGTATTCACTTTCACTGAACACACATTTAAACACAATTCAATTTCCTTATCTGCAAACATTTAAAAAATTTTCCATAATACCAAATACATTTTCTACGTGTAGACTATATGCCTCTAAGATAGGTAGTTATAATTATATGCTTAGTTTCTGAAAATTCTGATACAACGTACACATAATTATGATAAACTCTACCGATATTCCAGGTTAATAGGAAATAAAGCTGCAGTTTATAACGAGTGTATCTACCTCCAACACTTATACAAGACCTAGAAACAATGATCGAACAAAAAATCACCATTGGCATAAAAATCCCAGGAACTCTGTACTTTAACTATCTACTTATAAACTATAAACATTTTCGAAAATCACCTCGAACAGAAACAATATCTATAAGCTTTAACTACGTGCTTCAACTAAAAGAGGGCGCTTATTTAAATAAGGGTAACTTGTGTTTTTAATCACTTACATTGTAGAAATACAGTATTTCGTCTTAATTCTAAGCTTTGATATGTTTTCGATATTCTTGGCCATGACAATCATGAAGTCCAACATTGATATGTTTTCGTTTCCTTATAGCTACGTACAGGCTAGACATTTAATTTGACAAATAGACATTCATAACAACCTAAAAATATTTTATATATCTATATAATATACTGTGTTTGACAATATCCATATTATGGCTAAGTACATAATGAGCTTCTGTCACGAAGCAAAGATACATTTTTCATTTATTCTTTGTATATAAGCGTTTACGCGAAAAACAGTAATATAATTTAAAATTCACATTCATTAACAAGGAAATATAGTTTCTACATATTTAACATAATAAAAATATCAGAATTAATAATAACCCATTAAATCATTTTATAATCTAAAAACAGATTAACTCATCGAGATCAAAAGCTTGCAGCTCCACTCTTGTATACTTGTAAATTGCCTTGAAAAAAAAAATCACATTAGGCATCTTATTTATAATAGAGATATAATAATCAAATTTTTCACTACATTTCACTACCTACGTAGAAAGTTATTTAAATGTTACACATCTACTTCTTTGTTATCACCACAGCATTGACATTTTTCTCTTATATGTACTTTTCGTACATTTATTTTCATTTATATGATAATAAATTACTTACGATTATAATATTTTTATACTATAATGAGAGTAATAAAGCCTAACATTGATATGTTTCAATTTTTGCATCTTTAAGGTGCTTTTCCACTACACGCTAAGATATACTTTACATCAATAATTGTATAGATTATAACATTGTATATAGCAATAGACTGAAATATATATCTTGTTTGAATATTTTTAAATTATCACGACATAAGATTGTACACGCTCGAAACTTGCATAGAATGCTATAATATAAAACGTATCAAATGTATAACGGAAGATACAACTTAGGGTATAGTATAAGCCGATACAATTTAACAAAATTTGTGTAGCATCCGACATTCGCTTGGAAAGTGGAGATCTCATTTTTGATTGTTCTCCGACTTGTGACTATCGAACATCACCTTCATGGAATCCAGCACCTCCTCCAGGGACTGCCTGAATGCCTCCGTGCCGGTGACCTTGGACGCTGCGAACGAGGAGATGCAGAAGATCACGTTGTCCTTTTTGGGGTTGTAGCTACAGCCGTAGCCGTCTGGTACTACTGCGCCGTAGCCCATGAACGTGCCTTCAGTTGTCGTAGCCACCTGCGGTAATCAGAGGCGACATATTTGAACTTCATTTACTAAACTGGTCAATAAATAAAACCCTATTACGTATACTTCGCTGTCCGGCTGTCACCAGGATATACTCAAGATTCGCAATAAAATTTTCATTTATACTAATTTCGGTTGCCATTAAAACAATCAATACTAAAGGAAATATTCAAAGACTTCTGTACAGTTATAGTATAAAAATTTGTGTAGGTACACAAACGACTACCCAGTTATCTGACGTCCATTCGACTTGCACTTGGCCGTTAATCTTACAATACAACACAACATAAACAATAGTGCTTTTAGCATTCCGTTATCCGTAATATAATTCTGCTAAATAATCTTCAATTTCCGTTCATACAACTAACGTGACTGGTCCTACCTGACTGGTGCTCAATTTGAATTCTATCATCCTCTGATACGCTTGATCTGTGAACAGCGGTGGCAAAAAGCCGAGGGTCTCCCTCGCTGCCTCTCTTAGCCCCAAAAGGTGGTTGTCTGTGCCCAAGCCCTGGATGTTAGCTTCCATTATACTGGTCTGCTTGCGGGCTGCTTCGTAGAACAGCTCAATTTTCTTTAGACCCTGGTAAGTTGAAAATAAGGATTTCAGACTGAATCGCTATAACATAACTGTCCGTGGGGAAAGAAGATAGATCTGTTTATATTATAATTCTCCACATTTATTTAGCGTCATCAAAACTGATTTCAATAAATTAAGTGAGGAAGTTGATTTTTTTCAAGCACATTTTTAGCAGGAGTTAAAACTGTAAGCACTGTATATTGTGTGATTGTGAAATAACGTAAATTGCTTAAAAACGTAGGCCAATGCCTTATTGTACACAAATTATCCTAAATTTAAATATATACTTAAAAGCTTCCTAGCGCGGTTCTAATTTACTATAATTCCTTTCGCATTATATTTGCAATTATGTAAGCAGAGGGAAGTAACCTCTTGCAAATTAAAGGAAACCTTCTTCTGGCCGTCGTCAGCGGGCTGCAGAGCCGTGGGGGAGTCCGGAGCGCTCATGGCGGTCACCCAGGCGAGGGTTGCGCTGTGGGACGCTCGAATGTTGTCCACGCGGCCATCTCGGAAGCGCCTCAACGAGCAAGACTCATACGTCGAGACCAGGTGACCGTACATCCTACACAAAAATTCAATCTGATATCAAAAATCTTTAATTTATCTTAAACGTGTTGGAATCATTCTTATTGAAATTTTTATTCGAGACACAAACCACCATCCACCTACCTCTTCCTCCAACCCGACTGTGGTTACTTGAATGTCTAGAAACTTGTCCACAGTGCAGATGTTTACATTATGACTAGTTATACGGCTGGCTTATACCTTTCGTTAAATGAATCCTATGCTTGTCTCTCTATAAAGAGTGGAAACAATTGAACATACGGGTATAAGGAAATAAAAGAAAACAACTGTTATACACAGAGCCCACTGTGGCTTGAACCCACTATGCAGCTATGTCGCAATGAAGTGGTAAAAGCAAAATATGACGCTCACTTGAAGTAAGTGTACTGCAGAGCCAGCTGAATATAGACGTCGGGGCTGGTGCGACACGACTTCATGTACTCTCTGCCGTACCCGCGATACGTGTACACGCGCAGGTCCAAGTCCTTAATGGCTCTGAACATGAGAAAAGTATGTTTACTTTTAATGTCAAATTTATGTTGTAGGTTTCCAATGAATCGAACCCGTAATAGAAGATGAAATGTACAAACAAAGTGTTACAGTTATGCTGGTATATATCTCATTAAAAAAAAATCGTATCTGTTTCCTTATTTTTCATTAACATAAAATTATAGACAAACCGATCAAAATCCACAGTAGCTTTCTCTATGGTGTGCTGAAGTTCTGGAGTAAGGTTCCAATGGAGCCTCTCGGGAGCCGGCAAGAGAGTGGGGGGTGGCTTGGGTTTGTCGGCCACTTCGGCCCGGGCTAGCGCCCGTTCGGCTAGACGAACTACCGCCACTCCCTCAGCCGGGCTGTGCTCGTAGCACATTCCTACTGTGCCGTCCGACGAAATGATCAGCTGAAACCGGGTTATGCTAGAGGTCAGTTATGTATTACATCTAAGAGAAAATTCCAGCGTAGGTTGACGGAGCCAATGCTAACAAATATTATAATACTTCTACTGGTCTACAGGCAACGACGAGGCGCTGGCCAAATGGCTACTGAAAGGTCAAAGACTTCAAAACTTATCATAATTTGTTTAATTTTGGCAATGTACAAGGAATGAAAAAATTAACTATAAAAAAATGCATTTCGTTTGCTTACCTGCACAGTTTTATCAAACCACCGATTGGCAGAATGGTACTGAGTGCCGGAGCCGTGCATCGCTCTCAGCAACGCGTTGGTGTCCTCGTCGCAGTCGGGCCTATCGCCCCCGGCCTCGTCCAGGCAGATGAGGCACAGCGCGCGGTTAAGCAGCTCCAGGTTGCATCGGTTATTTTCATCTGCCAATGCAATAATAAAGTTTGTATGTCACAATATACGACGAAATTAAGCTATATTATGAAACAAGATGTATTTTTATTTTCTTGCATTGAGTGAAGAAACTATATGAGGCACTCAGTCTTATCACCCTTATTTAGCTGGTCCCTAGCCTTCGCCCAATCGTCTCTATTCATAGCCGTGAGTAGTCCCACGCGTGGGGCGGGCGGAGCATCGGCGGCATCTACCAAGGCGTGAAGAATTTGAGCTTGAATCTCTCCAGCTGTGAGCCGACCGCGATCGGTTGCCTTTACTGGTATTGCGTAGAACTGAAAAGTTAGAAGCTGAATTAATATAGGATTCAAGTGAAAAGAGATTGTCTGGCGTTTCGTACCCGAATGATAAAGTGGCGAATATTTACATCTTGGTGTCACAGATCCAAACGAAACGAACAAAACACGCATAATGATATTTAAAGGCGCAAAGGTTTCTTCGTTAGATTTACTCATCTTAGGTAATCACTAAGTGTACGTAATTCAAGAAAATAAATAATTGACAGTAACTTTTATTATGCACCAAATAAACCTTGCAAGGGTACTTAACGAATGTAGATGCTATTAATTAAAACCCAAATGAAGCATTTAACCAATAAAGACGAAAATTGCTTGGCCTGAGACCGAGAAAGTTATGATTCGGCAGTGTCCCATCATTTGAGACTAAGAGTTCAAGGCGTTTGCTAGTTTGTTACAGTTAGCTGTTATCTTATTGGGTTTAATAATTTAATAGCGTACGCTTGCTAAAACATTATTTCTCGAGATTTATGATGCAAAGTAACGTGCAAAACAACAAATAGTTTCATGTTTATTTAGTGCTTTTTTGAGATAGACTAGAGTAGGAAGATGAAATGCCCCAGCCATATAGGTGATAACTTATCAAGATGTGCTGTCGTCCCATTTTTGCTGTGGATATTCGGAAATGTCCAAAGAAAAAACGAATTTGGGCCTGGTTACTCACATAGTTCCTACAGGCGACAATAACCAGCTCCTCGCAATTGTCAGGGTCTGGAGGTGGCACGGGCAGGACAAGTCTGTCCTTGCCGACTCCGGACACTCTGCACACCCCTAGAAGTCGGTAGAACTGCTCCATGCATAGAGGTTGGCCCTTTTCGCGGCTTGTTGCTCGTTCTTGCGGCAATTCATCCCTGAATATCAGATGATTGGATTATATTTTTCCTCGTTTCATTCATTAAAGAAATAAGAGATAAAGCATTTTGCGCCCATACAAAACAAGTATTCTCCCTTAGATTTCACACTTAGGCACAATATAAGATTATCTACTTTTATCTTCATTAGCGACTTATTTTGTTAATTAATTCCCCACCTGTCAAGCATTTCCTTGTAATCGAGCAGGTCATCAATATAGAGAGCAGCTAGGTCGGCCACTTCATCCATCTTCGCAAAATGACGCTTCGGGAAGACCATCCCCGGACTCGAGTTGATCGGGAGAGGCAGGCGCACCTTCAGGTACATGTCGTCTAACCACCATTCGGTGACCTGACAGTACAAATAGCAACGATGCTGTAAGTAAATGCTGAATATGTACTTCGCGACTTCTTCATTTATTTATGCATACACCCAATCGTATCTGTAGAAAATTGTATTTTATTATTTAAAAAAAATAAGTAATCGGTACAAGGTTGGTACTTGGTGTCAGCTTACGACCGAATGAACTATTCCTACAATCCAAACGCAAAATTAATGCTCCGCTATTGCTCCTTACACTTCGTCAAGCGCCAAAGAATCTGAACACTACATATGAAATTCTTCCTATCATAAAAAGTTAATACAATTATTTATTTTTTTATTTTTGCAAACTTATATCCACTTTTTCTATTTTAACAAAATTAAAACGTTCTCGAATTCTAAATTAAAAAAAAACTAATTTAGCGGGATTCCAACCTACGATCCAGAGGTTTTCAACCCCAAAACCTAAAAAGACAACATGTCGACATTACAAAAAGTCATAGTAAGTGCGGAGACCGTGTAAGGCATAAAGAATATTTCTGAATTCGGGACGAGTTCCCCTATGAGTACATCTACGAGTATTCATTATAATTAGATGGTAGATTCCTTCTCGTGAGCGTATGACGAAAATTTTAAACATTGAACGGTTTTTACGAGTGTCTTTTTTTGTTATTCAGACTATGTAGAAATAGATTTCGCTTTGAGTATTAATTATCGCTTCTCCTTAATGACGAGTATTGGATATTGGAACTAAATAAAAACATATTAAATAAAGATGTATTTATTACAAAAGGAATTTTAAAAATACCTATTGTACGGGACGGTAGGACTTAAAAAGAATACGGTTATAGCTTTCCTTCTGGTCGGTCTCCTGGATGTGTTTGTCATCGTTTCAACAACATTCCTTCTTCTAAAATAGCTCGGGGACTTTTCAAAACGCGGATCAAACGTGTCCAAATTTCTATCAGATTCTGAAGCTTTCACGTAATCGGAGTTGTGAAGATAGTTTCTGAAAGAATCGACTCTGTCCCTCAAAAACTTCGGCTTCATTTTTCGAGGCAGATATAAAGGGTTTTCGATCGCTCCTTGCGAGTAGTCTTGTAATGGTAAATTGTTTCTTACGAGCTCAATTCGTTCTCTAAGTGATAAACTATTTCCATGGTGATGACTTAGAAAGTTGTTTTTATAGAAGTCACTCTCTTGATCGATGATTACTGGCTTCGGTCGAAAATAGTCTCGCGGGTTCAGAGCCCTGTCGATCTTCTCGAATGTCGGACGCAATTCGTATTGCTTAGGGTTAGGCGTAACAGGGGTAACGGGCGCGAGAGGTGTCCCGGGTGGTTCTTTAAACGGAGCTCGATCGTGAAATCGTCTCGAGAAAAAATCTTTCGTATCCATCGCCAGGACTTCTCTATTCTTATGTAAACGTATCCTCTTCATCACTTTTCTCTGATTTGCGGAATTAATCTTTTTGACAGGATACAAAAAAGTGTTCGCGAGTTGAACGTAACCATTTGTTTTTACGTTCTTAAATGAGTTTTTCTTGAGTAATTTCGAAGCATTTTTTTGAATTACCTTATGCATGTTCTCTTTGTTAAAAAACAAATTCTTTCCATTCACACGCTTATCGGGATGGGCTATAAAATTATGAGCTTTTGATATCGTGCTAGTTAATGCTATAGTTGTATATTTTTTACGATTTATTAAAGAGTTTACGGATGTATCGAAGTCTTCTTCAGTTTTCGGTTTGTACGTGTTGTATTTAATTTTTTTCGATTTTTTATACGTTTTAGTATGTCTATAATTGTAATGTTTTGAGGTTGGAGTTGAAGACATTAAAATTTTAGAATCCGGTGTGTTTGTACGGTCGAAGTTCTTAAGGACGCCGGTCGTGGTCGTTAAATATTTGTGTTTGATTTGTTTCTCTTTTTTATAATACAATTTTGTAGTGATTGGGAAATCGTTTGAACTTACGCTATCCTTTTTGGTCGTCATTGAAATCGTTTTTGTTAAAAAATTTAAATTTGTGCTGAATTTGAAGGAGTCCTTTCCAAAAAATGTTAGCTTGTTTCTTCTCAAGTCGTCTTGTAAAGCTGTAGTGTATGGAAATGTATATTTTAATTTTATTTCAACTTTAGAGTTATTTGTGGTTTTATTAGACCTGAAAGTAAGTAAGTCGGTCTCTATGTTTGTTGTCAAACTAGCTTTTGTTCTAAACATTCGTGACATACTCGATGAGTACTGATCTTGTATAGTAACATTTTTCAATTTCGTTAAATGACCGTCCTTATTATCTGTAACTACATTAAGGGTCAAGTTACCCTGGTCCACATGTTTACCGTTAGCAAATAATAAAGGAAGGCCAACATAAATATTTTGCAAAAATACTTTTCTGTAAATGTTTGTACAGTTGCTCGTTCCATTATTTTCTGTATAATTTTCTGATGTGATGTTTTTTCTTAGTTGATTTGACTCCATGATATCACTTGTCACCTTTGTTTTTTTCTGGAATTCCGTAAAATTGTTTCTAATAAAACTTCTGCTGTCGAATGGTGTAGCTTTATCTTGTCTTAACGATACTAAAGAATCTTTTAGCAAATTATTTTTATCAGAAGTAGACAAAAACAGTTTTTCAATTATTGTTTTGTTCCTCTTGTTTAATTGATTTGAGGTCTTCTTTAAAACTGCATTATTTGTTGTATAATTGTTTTCTAAGTCATTAATATTCAGGTCATTCATAGAGGAAGATATGATATAATTCATATTAGATATCAAGCAGGGTTTTGTTAAGTTTTTATGCTCAATCACATCTTCTGCCTTTTTACTGTTGGCTTTAATAAAATCACATGACGACGATATTTCTGTTAATATTAACCTTAATCTGTTTGTTTTTAGCTTCATTTTATCTTGTATAGTATTTTTCAAAGGAATCGAGTTTGTGGCAAATAATCTTTGACGATTGTTGTTCGTTTGCGTAACGCTTTTCTTATCAGTATTGCCTATTTCTTGTAACGTTAAAGAAAAATGAATAATTTCGTCTTTTGGGGAAAGAGAATTAGTTGTTATTTCTTTTGCGGTAGAATCGTATGAGGCCGTCTTTATTCCCTTAATCCTTTTCAATAATTTCACTTCATCTTCTAAGTTACTGTATTTTTTATTATCTTTTCGAAACACTTTCGTAGATGATGTCTTTCCACTGAAAGGGTCTTCACTGTTGTTGGGTAAATATTGTCGCGTTAAAAACACAGCTGAAGTTTTATTTTTTACAACTTTGCTACTTAAACTCGGCGCTACTTTGACCATAGAATATTTCGCAGTAGATTTTGGGTTTTTTTTAAGAGATAGGGTTGTTTGATTTATATTCATTTGCGTGGTTTGTTGGAAATAGTATGTAGATGTTAATAATGGTTCCATAAACGCGATGGGCGTTGTAGGTTGATTTGTTCTTTTAAAGGTATTACGATATTTTTTTGCTGTGTAATACGAATCTTTTGTTAAACTGAGGTTATTGTAACTATTTGTGGGATATTTACTCACTACAATGGATGTAAAATTCTCTTTTCTTGAATTAAATTTGCTAGTTGTACCAACATTTCTACAAAGAGGATTAGAATCCATATTATACGATACATTCACTTTTGTCATCGGTGTCGTTAATGATAATTTAAATTTTATTGGATTTCTGTTTTTTTCTACGTGATACATTTTAGTAACATTTGTCCATAAATTCCATGCACCATTTTGCAAATACTTTCTCACGTAATTCGTAGTACTCAGAAGGTTAGATTTATTGAAATGTTCGTTAATATGTCTCGCGATGAAGTAAGTTGTTGTGTTTTCTCTTTCCATTCCTGTGAGGTATCTCTTCGGTTGTACATTAGGTGTTTGTATAGTTATGAAAGCTGTAGGCTTATTTAATACAACCGTGTAGTTTTCTTTGATGTATTGCATTGTGCTTTTTGTTATACTAGTTTCAGTTTTGAGTTTATGAGTTAATTTTTTATCCGGAAAATCATTCGACGGAGACTGTATTGCATGCTCTGTTCTGTCATATTTCAGTGAAGACATTGGTATTCTTCTTTCTAACGGCTTTCTTTTATTACTGTTAATGAGACTTTTATTATTGTTAAAATGTGTCATATTTAGTAGCAATACACGTTGAAGACGATTTTCTTGATCTTCTAAAGTTTTATTTTTGTTGTTGATTTTCGGAAAACTAGCAGGCTTATAAAATATGCTTTTATTTGCGTTACCATTTTGTTGGTATTGCTTTGCATTGCTGTATTGTTTAGTAGTTATATTTTGCTTTCTGTTTGTTGATTCTGTTACTGTCTTTCTAGAGTTAGTCTGACACTTTATTGTTTTTTGTAATACATGTGGAATGACTTCAGTTTGACGTAGGATAAGGTGCGGAATTAAGTTGCTTCTAGATACGGTTAAAGATTTTATTAGCTTCGCATTATTTGGCACACTTTGCAGCTCAGAACTCTTAAAGTTCATGTACTTATGTGTAGTTGTCAGAAAAGTGTTAATTTTACTATGTTCACGACCTTGAGAAGTTCCAAACCTTTTTTTTATAATGTTGTGTGTCTTATTTGTTCTGATTGTACTATAATATGAAGGATTTGCAGCTAATGTGGTGTAATTTGTTTTTCCTTTTTGGAAGATTTTACGTAAAGAAAACATGCTTTCATTTGAACGACGTAATGTTACTGAAGCATTCACTTCAGGATAGTTACTTTTTAATGTAGATTTAAGTTCGTTGACACCCCTTATAGTAAATGGTACTGCAGAGCTTGACACCACTATATTCCACTTTTCATTATAACCGCCAACGGCCTTTTTCAATAAAATATTTTTTAATTTTTTAGGTGACACTTTATTTCCCGTGTGACTATATTTGGTAAATGTACCGGTCGTTTTCGGAAAATTTATTTCCTTTATCGAAAAACTTGATCTATTATGCATTGGAGTCTGGTAACTTCTAATAACAGACTGGGTTTCTTGTACAATTCGTCTTGTTGATAAATCGGTTGTACGAGTTTTAAAAGTATGTACTTTCGAACTTTGTCCCGGCCGTAGAGTAGTGATGACATTGTGTCTATAATTTGTAGTCGTTTCCAGAGCATTTGTTTTTCTGGTTATGGTATTTAACTTGAGAGGTAACAGCAAGTCACTGGTATATAGAGGTGTAGTTTGATTGTACACATTGAAATGGGTATTATACAATTTCTGTACGTTCCCAAGCTTTTGGGATTTAAATTTTGCGAAAAAATTAAATGCACTTGTCCGAGTATTAATATCAGAGTCTCGTTGTGATCTTTGAATGGTCTTTATTTTATTAAAAAATCCAGCAGGACTAATGAAACTTTCTATGCTTTCAAATGTTTTATTTTGATAATATTGCATATCTCCTTTAGTCTTATATAGCAATGGATTCGTATGACTTTGTTTGTTTTCAAATGATTCATTTTTTATGGAAGCATTGCTACTAAGAATCGTAGTTGTTAGTACATATTGTGTAGATTTTCGATCCACGATGGTTAATGCTACTGGCACAGTAGTATTGCGTAAAGGAACTTCTGTAACTGGACTATTTCTCATGTTATAATTCATATTTAATGTAAATAGATTATCAGCATCACCAAAAGCTCGGTATTCAGGTAATGTAGCTCTTATATTGTTTCTTTCATATATCTTGATTGTAACAGTAGGAACTTTATGTGCCATATTGATGGTAGATATCATTGATCTTTCTGGATTTGTAACTAGAATTCTTCTTAAAGTACTGTTGTATAAAGATGTTGGACGAATATTCTTGTTTGATATAATTTTATTAATTACAGCTTGAAACCGCTCTTCTTTCTTGATATTTGAGGCAATTGTATTTTCTTTCGAAGGAGGTTGATTCGTAAGGTATTCGTTTTGTAGATGATATAATGATGGCGATATATTCTCGGAAATTCCATTACTAAAAGAAATTTGTTTTGTTATGTGTTTGCTTTCTTGATATAAAGCTGGTAAAGGAGATATTATGTTACGGATTTTGTTTCCTAAATTTTTTTCTCTTGTGTTTTTTTTATAAACTGATTCTTCATTTATCAAAGTTGATATTCGATTTACGGTATTATCATTAAGTCTGTTCGTATTATTCAATATGTTTAAGCCTGTATCGTTCTCTTTGACAAAGAGGTTTTGTATTCTTTTAGTAATACCTCCTTTTTTCGTCTTTTCTATTGTAAATTTGTTAAATGCAGGTTTCGTACTATTATCCAAATATCTGTCATTTTCTTTGTCTTGAAGAAATACGTTTATATGTGACACTCTGTTTTCTGGGCTGGTTACATTGCTACTGGACGATGATAGAGGACTTTTCGCATCCTCTTTACTGACCTTGGACATTAGATTTTGAATACTTTTGAATGTTTCAGGATTATTACATAAACCTTGCTTTGTAGTTGAAGCAAGGATAACTCTCATTGATATACTTTTGGAATCACGTATTCTGTTGACGTAGTTAATGTCAGTTGCTGAAGTATCACTCTTTGCTAATTGGGTTACATTTTTATAAATATTTCTTGATGAAAGTAAGTTAATTGTAGGTAGTTTTGGCTCGACTAAGGTACTAGAAGTCCTATCAACACTGAAATTATTAATACAATCATATATTGTGCTCGTAACATTTAAATTTGTTATTTTAGTTACTCCATTGTTAAGATATGATTTAATGGAAACATTAAAATTACTTTCTTTATTTTTTTCAGAGTTTGTGAGATGTGAAAATGTAGTATTCCCGACTGTAATGGTTTTATTTGTTTCTTTCTTAAATATGTTTTGGCTCCGAAGTGGTTTAGTAGAAAGCGTGAGATTTTTTGGTATAATATATTTTAATCGAGAATTAGTTATCCCTTTTATCGTGTTCTTTTTATATTTTGTAATATGAAAGTCCTGCTGTTGTAAAACTTTGTCGGTAAGGTATAGGGGAAGAGCATCTTTCTTAATATCTGCAAGAATCGAACTTGTACTAGATGTTCCATTTATATTCAATCTTTTACTGTAGTTTGTCAATGCTTTTTGGTTACTCAGTTTTTCACTTTCAAGAATTACTTCCATTTGTTTTATCAATTGCATAATATTTTGTTTATTTAATGTATAATTATTTACTCTCTCACATTCTTTTGAATTATCTTCACCGCTATATCTTAGAACATCCTTATTCTTTTCATATAGTTTAATCAGCGTCTTTATGTTTTGTATGGTGTCTCTATAGCTATGTCTCTTGTGATACTCGTCTTCGTCCTTCCTATAATATATACGACTCACACAAGACGGCAAAAGAGTGCCATTTACACAACAGAAAATCGTTAAATCATCATGTTTCTGATCTGTCACAACATCCAAATATATTTTTACCGAATTATTTTTTCGTAATAATTTAAAAACGCGCGTCTTGTTATTTTTATGATGCGTTGCTAAAAAATTGTAAATGGAGTACAAATTACACTCACTAATCGATCTAAATTTCCGCTTAATATCTTCTTGGAATGTATTCTCGTATTTTGTGTCAATAACATCTATTGCTATGGCTGCGTTGCTATCGATTAACTTTTTTAATTCATGTCGGTCCACATTAGTGGCATTATTTTGCGTATTCTTTGAATTAATTGTAAAGATAACAATCACTTCATGCTCAGAACTATCGAAAAACGACTTTCTCCTGAGTAGGCTATATTTATGAATTGAATATTTGTGATGGTGCCTTTTTGCAATTAGCGCTTCATATAAGATGTTTTCAACATGTTGATTGTCATACATTCTCAGCTTGTTGGGTGGCGTTTTTCTTTTCGTTGGGTGTTCATTAAATACACCTTTGGACATTTGGTTTTGCAGTTGAACGCATGTATTATTATATATTTTCTTGTATACATCGATACTATTATTTTGTTCCTTTATTTCATCAAAATCTAAAGCGTTTGTTTTTCTTTCAAGCAATTTTACGTTGTTAATTTTCACGTCTATACACAAGCACAAACTTTTTAATAACTGCAGTGTCACATTGTAGAGGTGGTCGTCACTTCTTGTAGCGTCTATAGATTGTATAATTTTTGTAAGAAGAGGGCTCTCCGAATTCACATCCCGTATTAAGGCAATAACATTTGAGACACAGTTAAGAATGCAAATCGCGCAGAATATTCTTAGCAATATTGAGCACATTTTGACTAAAAATTGGGTTTATTGTCGGGCATGTTTGTTTTGTTTGGAGCGGAAACGAGGCGCGTAATACAATTGTTATGAGTTGGGAAGGGAAACTTCGCCATTCGCCTGATAAGAAGCGGAGGAGTGTTTCGAATTTAAATTTGAGGTAATTGCATTTTCATCGCTCGGCATAATACCGTCAAATCTCGACTCGATACCCGAACGGTCACGTTTCTATCTCTTTATTTACATTACCAATAATAATCGAGTTATAGTAATACATACACATCTTGTCGTCCAAATTAATGGTTGTTGTATGTATACTTTTTATAACTTTTTAATGTTAAATATGTATCGTTGTTTTAGATAGGAAACAATCGATAATTAAAACCTATCCAGAAGAAGAAAAATATAACAGATTCACAATCTTTTTTTATAAAAGCAATGTAGATATTTTGAGTAAATTGTTTGTATTATTCGCGGTTATATATATTTTCTTTTTGGACTGAGGTCTGAGATTTAAACGTTGTATACACACTGAGTGAACACCGAACAAGGAAATACGAACGTACCCAGTTAACTTTTTCCTTTTGCCTCTGCAGGAGTATGCTCTGCAGTTTTGGCCCCACATCTTCAATGAACTTCTTCGCGAGGTCTCGGGTGTTCTCTTGCTGTTGAGGGTTGAGAATCACGGAGGTGAAGTCGAGATAGGTGTCGATCGTCGCCTGCAGGTCTGGCACCGGCAGTTTCGCTACTGTCACATACTGTGGAGAGATTTTTTTAAAATTACAGTTATGCCATTTGATTGTTCGACTGTATGTCATATAGGGTAATATCGGTGGATCAACGATCCGGTCAGAGTATCATGCTGCTCATGCATCTGCACGTCATATCGAGAGCAAGCAAGAGTTCACGTATTTTATTTAAAAAAAACATACCTGAAATTCGTCGTCTTCCGCACCAGACATCTGCGTGCTGAGCCATTTTTTTGGCAGAGACAGGAGAGATTCCCCCCATCCTGAGAATAAAAAAGCGGAGTGTTTTTAAAACTAATTATCTAATTGTAGAAAAAGTATATTAGTATGCAAACCGGAGCATAAGGCCGTAGTGAATAATCCTAAACACACATAGAGATGAAAATCCCAACGAAGGGTGTTGGATTAAGACGTAGAGGCAATATCCTGCTCGAGATTGCACCTGGGGGTCGGACGCTGTTTGCTCATTTCGTTAGCTCAGCTACTCGCGCACCGATCGCATTGGTTCCATTGAATGGATTCTGCAATGATTAAAGTGAGTGCCGCCTATAGGAGCAACCTTCGAAGCTCAGAAGATAAACGTGTTGCCAAGTATTTCAGTCTGGCAGTACAGTCCAAACGACTCTAAATAAAAATCTATTTCGCACACGTGAGTCATTTTAAGCATATATTAAGGTATAACACCAGTATAAAGCAAAATAGTTCACGCAATACAAAAGCACCCTCTAAACGTAATAGAAAATGTTACAGGTGAATTAATTAAAGGCAATGAAAGGGACGTCCAGCGAAGGGAGAGGGACGCAAAGACATATATTCCCGACAAATTGATACACTCCATCACGACGTCGAACGGGCCTTCGCCACGAAGGAAACGAACGACCGACGCTTCTTCTAATCTAGGAAAATTGCCAATTTGCTCTTATGTGAAATTATCTAATAATGTTATTCAACGTTTTCTAGAATGCACCTTTATATTATATATGTGGGCTTTGGGCGCCAATCAGTATTTTGATTATTAAACTATATAATAAATATTTAAATTTGAATAGTAATCACAATTATTATACTGTTTTAGACTTTATTGACAATTCTGTAAACATTTGATCCGTAATATATTGTTTTAACGATTATTTTATGTATTATAAATGTTCAGAGTAAAATTAGATTAATAATATTAGAATTAAATTAAATTATTTTATTAAGTAGATTTGCGTGTGGCCAAATTTGCGTCCAACTAGCGGCACCATCTATGGTAAGATTTCATAAGCCTTACAAGAAAATTAATTGTATTTATAGGATAAATGTAATTCGTGTAAAATAAATTATTGGAGTTTTGTAAAATTCATAATAATATTAATTTCGAATATTCAACTATATGTTAAGATTGTACGTAGTCATTTCAATTACTATGTTTTAAAGGAAGGTGTGATTGTAATAACTGTTGCCTATATCTCATTTATTGTGAAATACGGTCAGTCCAATTCGGAGAATCATGTAAAAATAAACGAATCTGTCATCTGTGTGCGTTTTTCATTAAGATGGACTCGGACCACGATACCTCTGCCATATATCACCGACATAATATACTTTATTCTTTCTTTAAATAAACAAAGTAAAAAAACTGTAGAAAACTCACTTTTAGTATGAAAAAGGAAATACCGGTAATACGATCACTGCTACCTTGCTTCTAAAATAAAGTCTGTTGCGTTTCCACAACAGACTTTATTTTTATTCTAGAAAATCCATTTGCAAGTTTTCCCTATTGAATTTACCGTGTCTGGCTTCAGATTTAGTTCATTCCACACCTGAGACCCGCCTCGCGACACGATATCTACATTAACTTTAGTTTGCGATAACGTTTTAAGACAGAAAATTATCAGAGCTAAAAACGTAATAAACACGTGGAAACTCATGTTAATAAAAGGTGTTAAATTCCACAAAACAAACCGGAATCTTGCTTGTAACTGGTTATCACTAAATACATTTCAATCCCATTCAAAAATTCACGCATGCACGGTGTATGCATGATGTATGCACTGGATAATAGCTATCTTAGTGTGATGTTGATCTTTATCGGTTTTTTATTTAGGTTTGAGTAACAAAAGTATAAAAATGGCGTGAATTTCTAAATTTTTAACGTTAAAATTTCGTTGTATTTCGTTTTACTTAGAATCCTTTTAGGGCAAAAAGCTTCCACGATCCAAGTATAGCCACATTCATTTCATCTTCGTTAATATTTCGAAAGCGGAGTAAAGCTGGTAATTCGTGATATTTACCAGAAGCCAAATTAGTTTCCTTTGTACGTTTCAGAACGGGCGTGACAGTAAGACGGTTCCTTTTGTTGTAATAATTAATAATAATTTCCTAATTACCTACGAATTGAGTAAATTAATACAGACGTTTTCAATACACGAATATTACACGAGTAAAGATTTCACGTGGTCGAAAAACATTATTTAGAATTAAATTTTGTCGTATGTGAGAAGATATAATAGGGAAGATATATAAATACAATTGTTTCACTATCTTACTGATTATATTTTAGTGCTAGACGAAGACGCGTAGACAAATTTCAATGGGTATCGTTGTACGTTTATTGATCGTACAAGTATATTATGTTTAAAAATCGAAAATAAATTGAAAAAAATTGAACCTGCATCGTCAGCGTTCCGTGCTGTTGCTCTATCGGTAGCTAACGGTAGCAATAGCACAGAACGCTGACGATGTCGGTTCAAGTCCTGCCCGAGTCGAAAAAATTTTTCAATTTATTTTCGATTTTTAAATTATATAGTCCCTTCATGTGCAATAAGATGTATAAAAACATTAATGTTTTCAAATATGTTTATTAACAACTACCTACCTATTATTTTTGAGAAGAGTACGATTTAGTTGCTCCGTGTACTGTATGTAATTATAAATATATAGTGTTACATACTAAGCTTATCACCATGTTACAGTAACATATATAGTAATGTTACAGTAATAACATGTAAAAAATATTAAAACTTTATTGCTCATGATCACTATAAATAACTAAAACAAAGCTGAACAGCAACTCCGGCCACTTTGCTCATTCTTTTCATATTCGTTTTATAATCATTACATTACCATTCACGATAAATGGTACTCTTAATTTCGTCATTAAAAATAAAGGGGTATTCGTTGTTAATTTATTTAAATTAAGCAAAAGCCTTCTTTGAAAGCGCCCTACGGTTTTTCATTAAATATCATGTGTAAAGGTAATCCCCTTCTCCCCACCTTTCCCCCCCTCCTCGCTTACACATGTCGGTTCCCAAGGGGATCGACTGAGCCCGAGTTTATATTTGTTTAGTAACTCACCTATTTAATTGAAATAGGAACCCGGTACCGAGTTTCGGTTACAAACTTACACGCGTAGCGAAGAATGACGTATGCTCAACAATGTGTTTTTTTCGAAACAATTTCAAATTACTGTCTATTTCCTCACCTAAAGTATTCACTTTAATATTAATCTGTACATATTAAAATATGAGAGGAAGGCTCTTCGCCATTAAAACTGCACCTCTTACCTGCTTCGTTTAGCTTTACTTTTATATTCAGCGTAGCGGTGTGGTTAAAGTATGAAATCTTGATCATATTTCTAAAGTTATTAAAGTCATAATAGTAATTGGTCTGGGATATTCACTGGAAAGAGTTGTCACAAAAAGTAAATACAGGTTTTTGGTGTACGAATGGTGAAGCCCAGTACGAACATGGCAGATTTCAGCCAAGTTTCCGCTTCCGCTTGCGCCCGTGACTCGTACATGCGGCGTGGGTCAGCTTGAGTACGCAGGTGCGCTATCGATCGAAGGTGTGCCACAACATAGAGCACGAGGTCGGCCGCCAAAGTCATACATCTCTTCTCCACAGACATAAAACATCGGTTACCTTTCAAATTATAAAAACATTTTCACTTAATAAAGTTTGGTCAAAATAATAATAATGTAAAAACGGCTAAACGTGTTATATAGAACTGAGCGCTAAAATTTCACCATTTTAAATAAATTAAAATGAATGGCTTATTTGAACTCGACTGAAGCGTTATTATTTATAATATGAAGTTTACACATTATAAATCCTAATACGACATCTTATAAATGTAGAATGGTTATTATTAAAAAATCGCTCAGCCCAAACTCACGACATTTGGATATTAATGATATATCGGTCCTCACGACACGCCTCGTTACTGAACCCTGATGGATGGTTCCGTGCGCAGTGCGGGGCCGATATAACTCGTGTATTCGTGGAAGTAATCATTTTAGCTTTCCTCGATATCGCACTCTCTATTTTAGCCAAAGAACGATACAATTTCACGGAGCTTCTTTCTCACTAAAATACTAATGTTTGTTAAAGAACTTAAAAGTAAACAGATCGCTTTGACATATTTATTAATATATGTGAATTTTTAATAGTTGAACATTAAACGATTGCAGTTAACTATTTTTGTGTTGAAGAGAAAATTACATAATGCTACGGCGTAGCAGAGTGCTACGGAAAATAAATTAAATTATATTATTGGTTCTTATTTCATTAACCCATATTGCCATTTCTTTGCAAGCGTTCTCATCGGTACTCGGAGAACTCTCGCTAAAAATAAACCCATTCCGATATCACGCTCAAGTGAGTCATCGAGGAGGAAGGAACCTTTGTAGTTTGTAAAGCGTAAGTGATTTAGTATTAAAGCCACGTAGTAACAACGGTTTAGCAGCGGAGGGTGCGCCGGGCCGGGCTGGCTTGTTAAATTTTCACGGCCCGCTTCACCCTTCCTTCGAGAGGTTTTTTGTATTTTTAGAGGATCGCGTCCAATTGGGCAGTAATTAAAATATTGTGCAGAGGGGGCGAACGCCAAAAGATGTCTTTAGAACTGCGTATGTAGCAGCCGAAAAATGCCCCGGTTGTTCTACAAAAGTTATTTAATATGACAAGACGATACGATATATAAACGTGCTTTTATTACATTGATTCATTAATAAATAAATTATCAGCATCATGGCGTAAACCTGAAACGTGAAATATTAATAAACTCCGCAATTAAGTCTGTACCTGCTCAAACGTCTAGATGAAAGGTTTCCTTCCGTCCACAAAGCTTATCTTCTCTGACGGCGAACGACAATCGCAATAATATCTCAACGGAAAGCTACAAACAACAGCAGGCTCACTAAATCCCCCGGTCCAGTGGTTGTCTTTTAACTTGCATACACTATTATTATGAGCTGTGTGTTGTATACTTGTAATTTCACTATTCTATCAAAAAGCGAAAGTTTAACTAATTTTTGTCTGTATAAACTCAAACGCACTAAACTAATACATGATAAAGTACAATTAATTACGTAGTTTCACTGTACAGGCGGGCGCTACAATAATATAAAACGCAATGACAATCACGGATAATATAATCATTTCTTAGGCAATTCTGACCGAAATTGTTCGTCGTACCGCAAACACTCAACTACCCTCAAAGCAATTATAAATGTTGCGTCCGTTTTTCCAAACACTAATAATGTAGTGACATTTTCATTTCAACTTGGTCGAGTAATTAAAAAATTATGATTATTTTCCTTATCTTTAGTGCATTTCAAGTTTTTTTTATATTGATGTTAATCAGTGTAGTCGGCTATGAACATTACAAAAGTTACGTTTTAATATTAAAGACTGAAAAGCGTCCCACTGCTACTTCAAATACATTTAAATCCAAAGTATTATGCAATAACTATGTAGGTATGGAATTTCCAGGATAAAAATTCTAGAAGTGCTATTCTGGGTCATCAGCACGCGTTAAGCACCCACAGACTCAATTTATCTGTCAATGAATATTTTAGAGGGATTTGAAGTTATCTAGTAGCTCTCTGTCTTAAATGTGGTAAAGTGTAGTGTTCATTATTTGTAAAGTTTGTACAGAATTCCTGCGAAATATCTTTCATAAAACAAAGACAAACTGAATTGGTGTAACAAGTTTATTCGATCACTGAATAAAGTTTGACCACATGACATGAGTACAACTATTATATAGATTTATATTGGGTTGATGTCGTAACTATAACACTGACGAATACCTACTAGCTCCGTCGAAAGCCGTCGAAGCCAAATCGCGAGATCGCAAGTGTTCGTAGAGCTGACCGTGATGAGCACGAGCGAGATGGCTTCGAACGGTTGACGACCCAGCTTCTCTATTTTGATACATATGACTATCACGCGTCGTCGATAATTAAATATTTAGCGACAAGAGCGAAATTACAAGCTTTAAGCCGTCAAAGGTTAAACATCGTATATTATTCGAAAAATTATAAAAATAATCAGTTTCTACTTTATACATTAACTAGGAATATCTATTTCAATCGGAATATGGGATTCGTCCGTTACTTGGGTCCTTACGCTATCAGCTAACGGCTAACACTTTTACGAGTATATCAAGTCATCAATAGTATGTGATGGAGCAGATTATAATGCTCACTTCGGACAGTAACGACACTCGAAAAGTCCACACTTTATCTCTACGTGACTTTTTAATCTATGGTATTTTACGCAGAACATTGCTTCTTAATATAGTAACGTGATTATATTAGATTTAATTGTTAAAGTAAGTCTTATGATCGAATGTGTGAAACAATAAATGATGTTTATATATTACAAAACTTTGCGCAGCTAATAAATAAAACTATTACACATATGTATGTACCAGAATTTGATAATAGACATAGATAAATGTATTTATTTGTAATACTTTAGTTACTCTCTTTTATCATAGTTTAATTATACGTTATATATTTCTTGCTGCAATAAATGCTGCATCAAAGTTACCGTGATTCTCATAAATCACATTAAATTGCTGTAATATCCTGTGATGTTTTTTTTGTGCGTAGGTCAATATTGTTGTAGATACACTATGCCTGCTTGTTGCTATATTCTTTGTGCTGTCTGTGAGCTAGCACAAGACATTACGAACAATAACACAACGTGATGTAAAACACAAATTTTACATGACACTAATTCTATATATTAATATTATGAAGAAAACAACTCGAAACAGAAATATTTTTACAAAAAAAGATTTGAAAATTATCATTAACATGATTGACTAATCGCAAAACGTGACCTCTAACATAACAATGGGTAACATATAATCAAAAAAGTATATACAAAAAGTCAACATTGAATATTCCTAAACGATAACACCTAATTAACGTAATTAACGTCTAATCTGCCTATTTAATAGGTTTTTATCTAATTTCAAGATTTTGTGAGTTGAGTGAGTTCGTCCTAGTGGCTGAGAGATAAACAGTGTCGCCATAATGCGAAACGTAACGACTTAACGACGTCATATTTCCCAATTTCGGGCAAATTGCATTAAAACTGGGTAAACCCGTCCCCCCGTGGGTACAGTAACTTAATCATGCGTAGGTTCCGTACACACGGAGAGACAGAAAGTCGATTAGAGATCTGAATATCACTCATTTCTGTGTGCTGCTTGAATATTTACACAAACCTTAACCTACCCTTACTATTGATAAACAGCTAATATGCCTTTATTTTTCTTATTCCAGTTCAATATACAATTTCAATATACTCGTTTAGAATATAATTCCTAAGCGCGATAATTACGTTTTTAACAAAACTGTGGTACTTCGGTTGACATTATGCTCTAGTGCGATGAAATACGTCACATTTTTGTTAACAGCGTCGACTGATACGAGTGAGAACGATGGTCTTTACCAGGAATCTCCAACGAACGGACTCGGTATCAGTTTAATTTAATTGGTAGGATTATCTACCAATTTCTTGGTTTAACTTCACCAAAAAGGGAAGGATAATCGAGCATAGCTTTTTTAGTAAGACTAAATCTATTTTAACTTAACTCTAATTTAACTTAAACTAAACAACGTAACTCGATGAATTAAATTGCTAATACTTAACTAATTGATGGGTTAATGAGTTTAAGAACCCCGATTATTGGCGGGCACAAAACATTTTCAAGATTTCCAATATTTATTATATACAGCAAGAGATAATGCAAAATGGAAAACGAAGACCAGAGTCCCATTCGTATATTGATATGAATGATACGTACACCTATACTAAAATTGTTCATGAACTTCATTATTAAGAATAAAGAAATTGATTTTAGTGACGGCAAACGAGTGTGGAATGTAGGTTACGTTGGACGCCAAGAGACAGAACGTGAACGATGGAAGTGGACGTAGTAGAACTAACGGACGGGTAGCGATCTAGGTAAACCTAACTGCAAACCGCTCTATATATTATCAATACAAGGTTTTGATAAACTCATTGGTGAGATATTCAATTGCCGGGTTTTCGGGGCACTAACATCTTGATATATTATTTTTTTTCGATTTATCAATGCAGAACTAACTCTTTGTTATCGATAACATTAGCAGTTAGGTTTGAAGTTTTTTAAACTAGGAATATGTACTAAGAAATGTAGATTAGATAGGAAGGAAAGTTTTTATGATATTCGAAGTTCTATGATATAAGTAATAGCAAAAAAAAATATAAAAACACTCGCAAAAATCGTATATTGTAAACCGGTGGCATTTACCCCAAACTTGTAAAAACGATCCAATGTTTGTACGTAACATGATATGTATGCGATATAGAGTATATAAATATTAAGGCGATTCACTTTTTGACTATTCTAGCACTTCTACGGTGTGGACTTTTCGAAAAATTTACTCATCGTATATAACACGAGCTTTTAGATTATTAATCCGATTACAAATATATGCGTCGTGCTAGGGTAAATGCCCACAGTCGCTTTACTTATCTGTGCGTTTATCTTAAACGTTACTTTAAAATATAATATTTTCTTTTATAATTATAAATTTGTATATTCTTATGTCTAATGATATGTATGCGATATAGCTGGTTATGTTATTGCTACAATAAAATAGACACGAAATCACTATACCTTACTGAATTAATTCAGCCTCATATTGTGGCGTGAGTTTTGACTGACTGACACACTGTGAATGTCGACTACCGTGTCGACATAACGTCGAATGGCATAGGGATCGAATTCGCTCGCCTTTTAGGCGCAATCTATGCAACACGTAAGTTTTTGATTTAAAGCAGACACATTATTCCAGGACCGGGTTCTATCGTCAAAAATCACACCCCAATCTTACAATAAGCATATCTCAGCTGACAATAACTACTTATTAATTGAATTTCGGGAGAATTTGACACGAAAATTGACCTTAACTTACATCAACGGATCACTCTCTTAACATCTAATTAATCAATTAACGATAATCAACACCTGAGTCTACCGCGGAAAACGATGCCAACGATAATAACAAACGTACTTTTGAGACCGACAGACATTTTAATGTACGTCAACGGATACGGAATGATGTCATGCGTGAAATTTGGAGCACTTAATATCAAAATACACGAGTGCTCAAATGCCTTTACAATTGTGCATCGACTACGAGTCCTATTGTACTTTGCAGGCTGAGTTTTGTCTTCCACCCATCTCGAAATAAATAAAAATGCCGACTCTTTAGCCAATTCACGCGTTATTATGAACGAAAGAGTCTTAAATAGAATGTGTCAATATTTGACGATAAACACTTTCTCATTACTTATTTGACAATTGACATATCGGGCAAGTCGCTTCGCTCCTAAGATTTGAAAGAAATACACACAAATCCTTAGTTTTGCGTCGCTTAGACGCGATCGTACACAAAGAGAATATTAAATGTACATGAAATCTTATTTTCTACGTCGTTGGTAGTTGATATGAGTTTTACGATTCACTGCTTTAGAAATACACAACACGTATACGCAAAACTACGTCTACTGTACACACACAAAAATATCATTAATTTTACCTTATCCTAGTTGAATCAAAAGATTCTGATATGTTTTGTTACCTTGGTTGCAACTTATATCACAAGTTGATCACTACTTACCTAATATAATAAAATATACATAATATAATCGATATGTGATAAATCGACAAAATTTAGCCTAGTATTGCTGAAAGCTTACAAGAAACATTTGAAATACTTTTAAAAGGCAAGGTATAGAGAGACGGCCGCGTGTCGAGTGGAGGGGCCGATTCGAGACCTCTCGAATTTAAATCGCAGTATGTACGTACCGATTGTACACAGATTTTTAATGTTATGAATATATTAAAGTTTTATCATTTAACATATAAATGATTTTTTCTATACGATTCACGTTTGGAAAGTATCTGCTTTACGTCTAGAGTTTACTTTCGCATATTTTGATAATATGTAACCTCATCATTTACAGTGATTTTAGGCCCTCGTAATGGTCAATTTTGCGAACCCTTTAGATCATAAGTGCTTCATACATATTATATACAAAATGCCTTAATATTAAAGTATTACCTATATAATTACATTCCTTTATATCGGGAATTCTTTTAAGAATATAAATTGTGAATTACGTAAACTTCGATATCTTATTTGGAATTTCAATATCTATAATATTTTTAAGTACCGAATAGTTCTTCTTTGTGAGAAACGTTACAAAACATTCAACAGTTATTAACAAGAGCAACAAGATATAGTAGAATTTAGGAAATCGGATCTCATCTTTGTCACACAGAACAAGCTACATTGACACGAATGAGATCCCACTTCGCGAAGAGAAACACTACGACATTAAGCACGGCTAGTGGCGCGTCGCAGACGGTAGGCGACTCAGTGATCGAAGTTACCTAGGGTACAACAAGTAAATTTAGAAATTTACACAACAACGCTAAGTAGCTCTAAAAGCCTTGCCGAAAGGGATTCCGCACAGGTGGTGCGGTGGGCGCCGGCGGGGGAGGCTCCACAGTCGCTCGGAATGGGTTGCTCGCTGGGGCCTGCGGTTGCGCCGGCAGCTGCCGGGGCTGGCCGTACGTCTCTTGTTGGTACCCTTGCTGCTCGTAGCCTTGCGAATAATTCTGATAGCCCTGCTGGTAATCGTTTCTGCCGCTATCTATATTCGACTCCTGGACGTTGTCTTGGCCTTGCACGTTAGAGTACTCTAAATGATTCTTGAACTCGCCGTTCACCGGTCTCTGGTCTTGCATAGAATAGGTTTGGTACTCTTTATCCGGTGGATCGGCCATAAGAATGTTGGCTTCGTTTTCGAAGGGCTTAAAGTCATAGATGTGCCTCAGGTACATCAGCACAGGTGCGTAGAGAAGGTTGCTGAAAGCGATAAACAGGTTCAAAGCGGTGAATCCTATCACCTCGACGACCTCTCCAGCGATAATGGGGCCCACGGCGTAAGCAAACGAATAGGATATATCCGCGATTGCGTAGATGCTGCCGTACACGGAGACATACCTCACGTCTACCAAATACCCCAAAGTAGGCAGTAGTGCCGTATCGATAAGAGCGATGCCAAAACAAATACCGCAGATGGGTATCATTAACATTTTGTACGAGGTTGCAAAAGGTATGATGAAACAGCACAACCCTTCTAACGCTAAACCTCCGGCTGCCATCAGCCATTGGTGTTGTGGATATTGTTTGGCCATTTTCACGGTTATTATAACACCGAGAACGTGCGGAAAGAATGCCGGTAGCCATATCATGCCGATCTTCCAGTTGTCCTTCGTGAGGTTGTCTTCCATCCAAAAGGAAATGGTGGGTTCCAGGAATGCCAAAGCTACGTTAGACATCATGAGAGCTCCCGCACATACTGCGATATAGGGATCCATTAACAGTTTCCAAATCGGTGTACCGTCCGGCTTCGGCTGTTGAGCTTCCTTAATTTGAGTTTTCAGTGGTTTCATAACCAACAGAAGCATGAAGCCGTCCATCAGTGAGATCAATGCCAATATGAGAAACGGGACTTCTTTTCCGGCAAATTGGTACAGAGCACCACCGAACGGAGGGGCGACGAGACAACCGAAACTTATAAAAGCTAGAGCTATTCCGAGGGCTTTCGATCGTTCCGATTCTTCAGTGAATCTATCAGCTATCATGGCCAACCCTGACGTATCAGCGAAGGCGGATCCCACACCTTGAAGACTTCTGGCGAAGAAAAGCATACCATAGCTTCTTCCGCAGGCAAAGATCGACGTCGACAGAAACATGATTATCAGTCCAATCATCATCGGCACATCATATCCGATGCGATCGATTAAGGCACCAGAGAAGGGATTGATCATTAGTTGCACGATAGCTTTGGATGCGAATAGCAATCCGGTAGCCGAGTCTTGTCCTTCGTGCGAAGCGGGAATTATTTGCGTCGGGATGATCGTCCTGTTTCCTTCCTGGATAGGAGCGAGTGTGACGACGTGGTCGAAACCCGCCTCGCCCCAAGCGCCAATGTATCGCAAGTAATCCGGTATGATGGGTACTATCACCATGTACAGCATATTGTCCAAGAGTAGGGCTATAGAGACTATGACTAGGATGATCTTCCTTTGCGACGTCGGCTCCTTGATCTTGTCCCATAGCACCTCTCTGACTTCTCGGACTTCCAAATTGACGACCGGGATGACGGTGTTGTCGATCTTCTGCCAGATCGTCTGCGGCCCTTGGTCTTCCATCTCGCTCGAGTCTATTAGTTCCGCTCGGCTATATCGCTCAACAGCATGTCGGAGTCGCTCTCAGCGAGCATCAGTGGTGCCCCTCGCCGTGAGCCTCGAATGGGACTTCGGAACCTGACAACAAACAGAAATGATCATTAAATGTCATTTCCCGTTATATCGCGAAGGGAGATTGTTTCAAAAGGAATTTGAGTCGATCTTTGTTTCTGTCGGTTGGCACGGTTCCTCTGTCCCATTTCTACGAGATCTTCAAAATCCAAAGACGATTCAGAGTCCTTTTGAACACAGAACATGCGCACAATCACAGGTATACATATCACACATTTGATCGAATACCAAATAAATACGCAAAAATGTTTTATATATTTATTTGGCATCTATTATCTTACGTCAAAGAAAAGAAACGCTTTTGGATCTTAACGCATATTATTAAACTAAAGTACCGGTGAGAACTTGACGTCCAGCACGCCTAAGTAACGAAAAATGCAATATTATTCAAATCAAAATACTAATAATATTTAGTTCCGCATTTAGTAGATTACGCTGACAGCCGAAGATTAAGAGAGCGAAGAAGTATAAAAAGTGGATGATTCAGTGACGGGATACTAACGACTTGTTTTGTTCAAATCCAATTTGAGTCGGGTCTCGTCAGGCGACATCATTATCTGCACCGCAAAAGGGGGACCGTGCCCCGGCGCTGATTCAATATGCCGGCTCGAGCCGACGGGCAACAAAAGGCGCTCTATATGCAACATTAGCAACGATAGTACTGCAAAAAATCTTCTTAAGGAAAAAATAAGCGATTTATGTAATACAGCACAAAACCTTTTCTCTGTCTTTAGATACTATTTAATTAAAGAACTTGGTTGTACACCAATAACCTAAGAATTTTTTATATTTAATTATTGCCAAAACGTTTTTTTGTATCTACGCATGTAAGTAATACAATTTACTTATGTTAAACAGACACGCCAACTGTTAGGTGTCTCTCGTGCGAAATAAAGAAATTCTCAAGCCTCCTGTGATAAACGAAAGTAATCAGTCGAAGCCTTAACTTATAAGAATTCTTGAGGAAATCCTTGAGATCGGAGACGTGGATGGCCTCTCAACGAGGGTCGAGGATACTGTTATACGCTCCATCTGACGAGGCAGGGGTTGGAAATATTGGACTTATATAAATTGAGAAGTTTCTTTGATAATTTTTACGTTCCGGTTTAAATAAAATTAAATGTCCCCTTTAACTAAGATTATTTGAGGAATAATAATAGGTAAACGAGTAGTAGCCGACTATTGTAAGTTAAATTTATCTAAAGTTTTTACTTTTTAGTGTGTTAACGTTTTCTCTTGTGTTAGTATTTGATATCATTGTTATTTACAACTTATTGCATATTCACTCTCATTTTCGTTGGCTTTTATTTATTTCTTTTTATTTTCTTTATACAAAGGTTGCCTGGAAGAAATCGCTAAAGGCGAAAAGGCCGCCTACTAACTTTTTGATGTAAATAATTAATTTAGTATTACTATATTTGTATTTTATGTGTTTGTGCAATAAAGTGTTTTATTATTATTATTATATAAAGCCGAACCAAACGCAAAAGAGTAAATGTATGAGGGTTATTACAACGATATACATATTGTATATGTATAAAGCCAAAATGATTTTCACGCCACGAAGCACTTCTGAGAACGCTCAGCGTTAACAGTTTTCGTATCCTTGAACTATTCCTAGCACGAACACTGCAGTATTACGTGAACATTAATATGTACAAATACATATTCAGGGAACGATTAATTCGTTAAAATTACAGTAAACAGTATTCGATTCGATTCGTACAATAACTGTAATAGTCCTTTATTTATTTGTACAATTGAGACATTTTTTTAAAATACTTTTTGTTGCCGGAACCAAGTATTGTTAAAAAAGCTTTTTTAAGTAAAATTATGTAAGTCGATATCGACAGTTTCTTTGCTACAATGCACCATAAACCGTAAAGGTTCATGATTGGCGTAAAGATTTCTACATTTTAGTGCTCTTTCTCTACGTCATACACACGTGTGCTTGCAGATACGCTACAATAATAATGTACTTGAAACCAGAGTCACTAGAGCGTTAGGAATAAAACCAAGTTAGCCGTTCTTTTATTTAAAAGTATGTATAAATCGGGCCGTGTATTGCCGTTTTTTCTTTTCTGATAGAAGACCAAATAAAAGCTAATATTACTTAAGCTATATAGAAAATATTATTTTTAATAGAAGGCGAAAATAGTAGACCTCTAATGATAACTATCTGAATTGGAGAAATAAAAAAAAATACATTTCTTTAAAGGTAAAATACTAGATGAGTTGTTTTTAGATAAATAATAATTACATTAGCCCGGGGCTCCCCCACGACCCTGTCGCTGAATCGAAGGTAAGCAGACGCATTAAACTTTAATGAAATTGCAGATTCTATGAAGGCAGCGGGAGGTAGACGCGATTCTCGACAGGGTGTATGCTCACTGATAAAATATTAATGTTAATACGACCAAATAAAGAGAGATAACATCTGTTTTGTAATAAATGCTAAAAAGAGCACCATATTTATTATTTTGAACTAATAAAATTATCGTAACGGACAAGATTCAAACCGACTGCATTGCGGTTCTCAAACTCCTCCTTCTGAGCGATCGGTGGTTAATATCTTTCTAGATAGAATGTTATTTATTTATTTATTATTTAGAAACATATTATGACAATAACTTTAAACATGTTTTAAAAGGTTTTCTTGATACCTAGCAAATTCAGAAGTTAGATCTGTCTAAAATGTAAAACTTATATTGCTTGTTGTGTGTTGTGTGTTTTAAAATAAAAAACCATTTAAACAAGCATTTGTGATAATCAATAGTATGGTTTAAAAAGTTATTTGTGCACGCTTTTCATTGTTACTGTACACATACAGTCGGCGACTTCAAACACCAGGTGAGGGTTATTTTAGAGGGTTCTCTCCCGGGAGAGGTAGGGCGATTGACCTGTCCCATTCGAGAACTTCGAACGGAAATTTCAACCTTAATCCAATGAGGTAAAGCTTAAAGTCACGCGCACATATAATAAATTGACTGCCACCAGATTTTCAACCTTATGACAAAGAGGCAGAGGTCAAGGGCGCTTCAGAAATAGCACAGACGATGGTTTGCGCTATGGTTTTGAATATTTAATGAACTTTGCCGGGGCTTTAAATGTTTTACGACTTCAATAACTGAACATTTTGCGAGAATATAAAAGACAATTTTCCTTTTTTAGTTCGCTTATAATTTTTATGAATCAGACGATAAGTTATGAGTTATTAACCTAGCTTCAGCCTAAAATGTCTATAGCAATAGATTTCATATTTAACTGAACTTGAAATTTAAGTTGTAAAAACTTCAAGTAAAAATATTCTGAAAATATAAGAAGATATATATTTTTTTATGATATAGTAATTTACACACGATACCGTTTCTGGGTTTTCTAATACAATTTTCTAAGGATTGAAGTTTCAAGAGCTCGCGTTTGACATAAAATGGTAGTAATACAGCCGCGTAGACCCTAACATTGAATGAGCTCTACGCGTAACTGTGCTACGCGTTCTACGCTGCTACGAATTATCGACACAGCTGCAGAGCTCAGCGGGTGATATTGTAGCTTTTGTTTCTTTGAACGTCTGTCTGCGACAGCCGTATGCCGGCTAAATGCTCTGACAAATATTATATTACGCTACACATTGGACCCTCCTACACATGTATTATGCTACCTGACCGGCGAACGTGTTTTATCATATAAGTCATTTCTAGGAAATTTCTATTGTGTAAAGCTCTATTGAGACCAGCTTCGGTCACATCTTTAGCTCGTGCTGCTTACTGGGCGAAAAGTGACACCGATATACGCCTGGAGGGATATTTTATTTATTTAGCGGTATAAAAAAATATTTCTTTCCCAAATAACTATAAAAAAAGGCGTCGGTGATAGAAGGGTGAAAATTAAGAGGTTGTATGTATTTTTAATGCCACATTAAATTTCATAGAAATCGGTCGGTTCAGGAATAAATTAATTAACACTGTGAGACTAGAATTTTGTACAAAAGATCATTATCTTGAAGGGAATATGTACGGTGAATAACGAAATGTTAAAGTAACAATTTAGAACAACTTTTCAGTGTTAGTTAGTGTAAAAAGATATATTATACAAAATTTTACCTTTATTACTCGTAAAAAAAGCTTATCTCTAAATTTATTATTTTATATGGGCTTTAATGGTAGCTATATATGGCTACTAATCTGCAAGTCCGTGGGTAGGAGGGTCCAATGTGATTCGAATTGATTTTTAAATTTTCTGATACACGTTGAACTTCATCTAGAAATGTGGACATTAAGCATGTAGTCTACTCTGTACTATCTTAAGTCTATCCGCATCTAAAATCACCATAGATAGAATCCCAAAAAAGTTTAAATGCGAATAATCAAAGTCAAAATAGGTTGCGGGTGGATCATGATCATGTTTATATATTATAACGATGGGTATTTCTCCTTCCATCGAATGAACACCCCATGCCTGGCCGTCTTGCTCCATCACAATAAAAACAGTATAACTAACATATACTCGCAAGATATTGTCATATTAAAAAATTCTAGAAATAATACTACGCAAACGAATTTATAAGCTAAGCGAAGTAACACAACAGCATCGAGTGGCCGGTGTCGAGTATCTTTAAAGAATGGTGAGAGCCCTCATCAATCGGGTTGATAGGGCACGCTTGACCTCCGCCCGCCCTCCGCCAGAGCGCACCACTTGATACCACTTTTGTTATTTAAATATATTCTATAATAACCAATAACTGGATGTGTGCAAAGGAAAGTAATTTTACTAACAGAAACGACCACTTCAACGAATTCAAACAAAATATTTCCAACTGTTCGGTTTCCATCTACAATTATCAAAGTGTGAAAGGCTTAGATAATTGTACACTTGCTAATTGGCACTGTTTC